AATAACACTCAGCTGATCCGTAAAGAGAGGGAGATGTGGAACATCACCATCAAGGCCTTGTTGCACCTGGGAGGTATTCTCGTGGTGGATGTCTTCTTCCACTACCTTTACATTCTGACGATACCCAGTGACATGAAGCTGGTCGCTAAGCTTTCTGACTGGTCTCTAGGTGAGTAATTAAATCCAAAGCTTTTTCCTTTCTTTCGCACTTGCACTGAAGTTTTCTTGCTTCAGTCATTTGACTTTTTGTGGTTTGAAATAACATTGTTATTGTTATTCCCTAAAATCATACTATTTCCAAGGAAAATCAGTGAAAAAATGAATAATCTAAAATTGTAATGAGACATCATTTCAAGTTAATCTGCTACTGGAGGTTTTCTCAGAGGCAGGACTTTAAATAAATGCCTGAAAAGACTGTGGGATATATTCTAATTAGGAAAGATTCAGATTTGTTTTTATGTGATTCACAGCTGGACTGGCTTATTCCAACTTGGTGTATGACTGGGTGAAAGCGGCTGTAATGTTCGGCGTCATCAACACCGTGGCAATGCTGGATCACCTGGACCCTCCTCAGCCTCCCAAGTGTATCACCATGCTTTACGTCTTCGCTGAGACGTACGTGCGACTTGCATCAGCAGTGTGAAACCACAGTGTAGCTTTTTGGTTCGCTCTGCAAAGTGTATTCAAGTATTCATGAAACTTTGTGTCTTTTGTAGGCACTTTGACAGAGGCATCAATGACTGGCTGTGCAAGTGAGTGCATGGATGATTTAAATTCATGGGCATAAAGAACCGAACGCGGTATAGACGAGATGATTTTGACTCATCGTTGTGTCGCGTGCAGGTATGTTTACGACTACATTGGTGGAAATCACGATCAAATCTTCAAAGAACTTCTTGCAACCATCTGCACTTTTGCCGTCACCACCCTGTGGCTGGGCCCATGTGAACTGGTTTATATCTGGTCCTTTTTCAACTGCTTTGGTCTCAACTTTGAGCTGTGGGTGGCCAAGTTATTCTCCTTTCCACCACTTTCTACCATAGAGGTGAGAAACGATAAGGCAAATAGTAAGGCCCCTAGGCATGTCTGAGCATGGATGAAAATTCTTGCCTTGAATAACAATTTGTGTCTGATACATTTAAAGAAAAAAATTAAATTACTTGGTAAAAAAAATTCTTTAGAATCTTGACACAAACACAGGAATCTATCAACATTTTGTCATCACATTTAGTCACTGGATACAGGACCTCTTCTTTATCACTGATAGTCTATTCTTGGTATTTAATGAGCACTGATTTTAAGTCACTCTGTCACACTTTGTGGAAGCTGTGTAATGGACTGAGACAGCATAGTGTGTATTTGGTCCTTGTTTCCCCGTGCCCTTCTTGTTTCTCTCCTCTTTCCCCCAACACCCCAACTGGTCACGGCAGATTTCTGTCGCTCCCTGAGTCTGGCTCTACCAGAGTTCTCTTCCTGTCTAAAGGAAGTTCTTCCTTCTCACTGTTGCCAAGTGATCCTCAGGGGCTATTATCTAATTCTCTTTAATGTTGTACCTTTCATTATAAAGGGGAGTGAACTGGCAGTTAATAAATAAAACTGGTGGTTATCAACTTCACAGATCCATTTCTTAGTTTGATGGGCCTTAATACAGTACTGACCTGAGAGCAACA